AAAGTTAAAAAGAAAAAGTGCTCAAACTAATTTTTTTTTTAGCTCCACACATTAATGTTTGAATATTCGAGTTTAAGTCGGTAACGACTCAGATCCATCGCTAGCAGATATTGTCCTCTTTGAGCTTTCATTCGGGAGATTTCACACCCTTATAAATGGTGGTTTGTTCTCTTCGGGACCCAGCGTCCTCGCTGGCACTTTTTCCTTCCTCCAATAGATTTAGGACCGCCCCCAAAACCACCCTCTTTGGGGCCCAACGTCCTTACTGACACACCACCTCATGTCTACCCCCCCTCTTTGGGGCCCAACGTCCTTACTGACACACCACCTCATGTCTACCCCCTTCAGGGAAGAGCGAGAAGGCTAGCACATCATCCGGTGTCTGGCTCTGATACCATTTGTAATGGCCCAAATCCACCGCTAGCAGATATTGTTCTCTTTGGGCTTTCTCTTTCAGGCTTCCCCTCAAGACTTTAAAACGTGTCTGCTAGGAAAAGGTTTCCACATCCTTATAAATGGTGGTTTGTTCTCCTCCCTAACCAATGTGGGACATCACAATGCCGTTTTAGTTAAAATTATAATATCTTATACGTTTATATTGGTAATATTCAACTTAATAAAACAAAATAAAAATAAAAATTACTAAATGTAGAATTTCGAATATTCGAGAAATGTGTAGAAAGACGTGGAGTCCAAAAAAAATGATGAGAGAGCACGAGCAAAATACAAACTAATTCGATTTTCTTAGCTTCTCAGCTTATTATCATTTTGATCTAAATAACGTGTTACGTAAATATTTAAATAATAAAATTTTATCAGAAAAAACAACACTTGAGATACTTTATTAAATTTTTTTAAAAAAATTATGTAAAAGAAAAAAAAGAAGAAAAAAAAACATCACAACGTCCTAGCTTTTTGGTCTTTACATTTGAATATAATAAATAAATAAATAAATAAATGGTGGTTTGGGAATTTATGGAGTCCTTTCCCATCCACTTTATCAGGTGGGGGCTCCAATTTTGTAACCTTTGTGTGTGTGACATATTAAATCATCATCATAATTAAATTCATTCTCTCTTTCACATGCTTACCTCAATAATATTCCCCTCTATGTTTTTATGAACGTTTGAATTCTATTATGCTCATATAATTTCATCTTGTCTCGGGATGATTTTAAGAATATCGATCCTTTGATTGGTGGGTAAGATTCGAAAATCTAGAACGTTTGATTTTGAATGGTTTTTGTTGATTTTTGGCTCATTCGTTTGTCTCGAAGAGATCTACAAGTTTGTAAGAGAGTTTGAAATTTATCGAGTCTCGAAACGAACGATTGAAAATAAACAAAAACTTCAAGGGAAATCGCATGCACGATCGATTAGACGTTAGGGATGACTAGTCCAGGTGGACTCATACAATCTTGTTTGGTTGTACTGATCAATTCTATAATGACCCAAACCTAACTCTAGCAGATATTGTTCTCTTTGTAGTTTTCCTTTCGAGCTTCCTCTCAAGATTGTCCACCGCTAGCAGATATTGTTCTCTTTAGGGTTTTCCTTTCGAGTTTTCCCTAAAAAATTTTAAAACGTGTCTGCTAGCTCACAATCTATCTCCCTTCAGGGCCCAACATTCTCGCTGGCATTCGTTCCCTTCTCCAATCGATGTGGGACTCCCAATCCACCCCCTTCAGGGCCCAACATCCTTGTTGGCACACTGCCTTGTGTCCACCCCCTTCGAGGCTCAGCCTCCTCGCTGGCACATCACCTCGTGTTTAGGTCTGATACCATTTGTAACGACTCATGCTCACTGCTAGCATATATTGTCCTCTTTTATTATTATTATTATTATAAAAAAAACACTAATAATTCAACAACTCACATAGTCCAAAAATTCTTATCTATAGAATCCCATCAATATTTTAAGATTGTTGATGATTTGAAATCTTGACATTTTATTGGACAAATGAATTTCAATATTATTATTATTGGAGAAGAGACATGTTTGGTTTTCATGTTTTTTTTTTTGACATTATTGGATATATTTACTAAAATTTGTGTGGATATTAATAATATTTGACATTTGTTACCCTCCGACCCTACATTTAAAATCATTATAAATATTAATAATATTGAACATTTATAACTGATGTTAGTGATACAGCGTGAATTGTGAATGTTTGATATTTGAAGTTTACACGATTTTAATTATTAATGTAAAATATATTATGGATAAATATGATTTTTTAAATAATAATAAAAAAAGATAACTCGATAACCCAACCAAACTCGAAAGTAGAGAGTTGTACTGTAAACTTTATTTGGGTTGCTTGTGTCACTAATTTCATATTAGTTCAAAAGATTTTTCGTGTGTACATCTTTACAAAATTTGATAGACATATATGGAGTTCTACACGTGCTCCATCACTTGAGAAGAAAGAACAAATTAGTGTATGTAACCAAATGAAACTAACGATAAAAAAAATAATCTATGAGAGAAAGATCGTACCGTGAACTAATTAACTAACTAGCAATTTTGGTCAAAATCGTAAAATATGAACTTTCCCTTCTCTACCCTTGAAAGTCTCCGCAAATGAATCCTCATTTTTGTAAGAAACAACGCACAACGTTAAGACACTAAACGAGAGTATTGAGTTGCTATTAATACTTCTTTACATATTTTCTTCCTTGAAAATATCTACGAGTGTCGAGACAGCTACTCTCTCAAATATTTTGCTTCACTCTTTTAGTTGCTCGATTCTCACTGTAGTTGTTCAAAGTACGTTTCTTTGAATTCTACAAACCCTACATGAAGTCGCTAATTTTTTTTTATCTATGATATTTGGTCGAGCGTAAATGTCTTAATTAGTCTAAGCCACGATTAAACACGAGAATTTAAAGAATAATTTAATATAATTGGACTCATGGTAGTGGGCTTAGCTTGTTGGGCCATTGGATCATAGGCCCATGGCTTGGCTCTTTATTAAAATTATTAGCCTTAAAAGAAGGGAAGCGTGGCTACTGGCGACTGCACGCGCACGGACATCCGTCCCTGCCAAACCAACTTAACGTTTAAGTCGCACCTTACCTAATTAAAAATTATAAACTTAAAATATTATAATACTAAATACTCTTTCAATAAATTTTAAATTTAGTTGTTGGATGTTAATTTTATCGCATTTTATTAAATAATAATTATTGATATATACATACAGACCACGAAAATTTATCAAACTTTTAATGACTTTTCAACTGTGAGTTTATTTATCTGAGAGATAATTTGGTTCAGAATAAGGTGATTGTGACAAATTACAAGATATGTTGGATGATGAAAGTCCCACATCAGCTCATTTAGGGAATGATCATGGGTTTATAAACAAATAGTACTCTCTCTATTGGTTTGAGGCTTTCTGGAAAAGCTCAAAGGAAAGGCATGAGGGCTTATACTCAAAGTGTATAATATCATACCATTGTGGAGAGTCGTGTTCGTTTAACATGGTATCAGAGTCATGCCCTAAACTTAGTTGTGCCAATAGATTGGTAAATCCTCAAATGTCAAACAAAGGACTCCAAAAGAAAAGGAGTCGAGCCTCCTCGAAGTCAGTAAAAAATGACAAACTCCGATGATGAAAGTCCCACATCGGTTAATTTAGAGAATGATCCTATGGTTTTAATTTAGGAAATGATCTTATGATTTTATAAACAAATAATACTTTGTTTATTGATTTGAGGCCTTTTGGGAATCTTAAATTTTGGAAAACGAGTTGGAGGATTTTTTTTTTTTTCATCCTTTTATATATTTTACGAAAATAAATGAATTTTTTTTGTAAAAATAAAAATTAAAACAGTTAATTTCACGGTTTTATGTATTAAAATAAAGGAAAAAAATAAATAAATTTTCGCACGAGTGAAGGACCCCACGTGTTAAACCAATGTCTTAGTCCCACGCCTTCCTGGAAAGGCGTGGTTTATTTTTTCCAAAGCAATGAGCCGACGTCGTTTTCGTACGTAGCCCAATTCTAACTCTTTCTAGTTCTCCCCACGTGCGCACCTCCTTGAATCCCGCAATTATTTAATGTTTTTTTTTCCGTGCTTCAATATCCCATGTTTTTCGTATCACTCCCTCTTTTCCACGTGTCTTACTTATTAATTAATTTCCTTGGGAATATTAAATTTCCATCATCAAACCAAAAATAAATAATAATAATAATAATAATAATAAATAAAAATAATTTGACTTTTAAAAAATAAAATTTAAAATTAATCCAAACCTGTGATGCTTCGATTCTCCCACATTTCGTAGGTCACACGGACTTCAAACCGACCTTACTGCGTTTTTTTTTCTTTTTTTAATTTAATTTACTTTCAATTAAACCAAAAATTAAAACTTTATTTTAATTAATAAAAAAACCAAAACTTTGTTTTTAAAATTTATTAAAAGGGTATTATGAAATTTTGAAATTTTTTAAAGTTTTATTTATTTTTAATTAATTTAGTAATTTATATATATCTGAATAATTTTAATTTATTTTGTACCCAAATAAATAAAATTCAGTAATTTAACTTCAAAATTATTTTTAATATAAACATTTATGATTACGAAAGGCAAAAACTAGAATTTAATTATCAGATATTTCAACAGTTTCACAACAATTTTGGAGTCAAAACATTGAAATTATTATTAATAAATGGCAGCATTTAATAAAATTAAAAAAAAATAAAATGGAATAACGAGACCGTCATTAAAAAACTTAATTTTAACCATTTTGTTTTTTTTAATTTTCGAAAAAAAAACCATTTTTATTTATTTATTGTTGAAAAAGAAAAAAAAAACAACCAATCCACACGAACGACACTCTGTCTCTCTGTTTCTCTCCCTCTTTTATATCCCAATTCATAGCCCTAAGAATCTTCACAGCCAACAGAGACAAAAAAAAAAAATAATAAATAAATAAATTCTAGAGAGAGAGAGAGAGAGGGAGGGAGGGAGAGAGAGAATCACGGCGGATGGGGAAATCGGAATCGGCGAAAGAATGCAAGCGGCACCAAAATCACAACCAGTTGCCCGGAATCTGCCCATCCTGTCTCCGGGAAAGGCTTCAACAATTACAGCAATCATCAATTTCTTATGCCGATTCTCGTTCAACCTCTTCCTCTTCTTTTCTTAAGTCCTCGGAATCTTTCTTCTCCGGCAACACCTCATGGCGGCGCCGACATACTAGGAACGCCTCCGAGCTGTTTACTGGGTCGATGGCGGCGGATTTGTTTGGAGACAAGGTGAAGAAGAGCAGCTCTATTCGGATCTCTGCCGATGGCGGCGGCGGAAAGAAGAAAGTTGGGTTTTGGTCCAGGTTTTTGGTCCGCCCCAAAGCTCTGTATTTTCATTCCCACCCCAAAGTTTCTTCTAGGGAAATTTTGGGTTGATAGATTCTGTTTCATTTTTTTTTAATTTTAAATATTTTTATTTAGTAAATGAATTAGTATTTTTCTTTGGCCACGATCCTTCGTACTGCTATGATATTGTCCACTTTGAGTATAAGCTCTTATGATTTGTTTTGGATTTCTTCAGTATTCTGTTTATAAACCATAATTATTCCGAGCATTTACAAATTTTTACTATTATTATTATTTTTTTTTCTACAGATCTAAGAAAAAATTAATGAAATTCACAATCAATTGGGGATTTTTTTAGTTGAACAACCAAATGGAAGGAGTCAACATTTATTAATGCTAATTTACCTAATTTTGCAACTTGTTTTTTTGGTCTCCCAGGAATCAAGACCATAAAATTCAGACTTATAAAATTAATAACCATATTAATTAATTAAATAATAATCGACACTTTTTAGAACTAAAAAGAAAAAGAAAAAAAAATGTATTTTCTAATCATAAAGGTTAAATTGGTAATTTTACCCTAAATTTTTTAGAACGTTTATTACTGTTTCTATCGTACTTAAATTTTTGAATTCTACCCTTCGTTCAAAGCATGTTCATGTGCAGGTATCGAACTAGTCAGGTAAATGGACATTTCTTGGCAATAGTAATATATAAAAGGATATAGTTTAAGATACCCAACTTAAATATAACTATATTCTATAACATGTTCTCTTATACGTTATTAATAATTTCTTTTTCTTTCTCGTTGATGAAATGAGAAGAAATGAAACAGATGTAAGAGGTGAGGCTAGAGTGCAGAGATTGACGATTTTTGTAATGATCTAAGCCAACCATTAGTAGATATTGTCGTTTTTTAGCTTTCATTTTTAGGTTTTCCTTTAAGGTTCTTAAAACGCGTCTACAAATGAGAGATTTTCACACTCTTATAAAGAATGGTTCGTTCTCTTCCCACCGGTGCGAGATCTCACAATTTTACTAGAAATTCAAAAGGAACTTGAGTTTTTGATATCGTCTATATTAAAGAACTCAACCAAAAATCTAATATGAAGTAGCGTAAATAATTATCTTAAAAGGAAAAGCTATATAATGTTTATTTTGCATGAATTATGTGATGATGCTATATAACGTTGTGTGCACACTTGGTTATGTTTCATGATTTAGTATTATGTCGAGTCTAGCGATTTGTTGTTAGGGTAATTAGTGGCTACATTAGACCTAACATCTCCCCTAAAAGCCTAACAAACCACAACGTACGAACCACCTTAGGAATCACTTTAGGTTGTTAGATGTGCGAATGGTGTCAACAACTTCGTGGGAGAACAGGGGTTTCTAATCAAAGCCCGACTGAACCTAGCCGTTTTGTATAGAGAACAAGAGACCCACGTTATACAACCCATCCCATTAACTGCATGGGACAAGGGAGGGGTCACGCCCTCCAATGAAGGGCGACTATTATTGACTTGGGAGGTTTCACCTCACCCTTTAGGTATACCATTTAGTCTCATAAAAACATGCATGAAGTAGTGCATCGTATAGAGACACCAGTTATTCACAGCTCGACATAAGAAACTCTCAAAGTTCAAATGAAAGAACGGAGAACCAAAATAACCCTAAGGGATTAAGACTAGTCCCAGACGCCCTAAAGTCCATGAAAGAATTGGAACCCTCCTCCTATTAAATAAATGATTTTGAATTTTGCATGCCTACACACTATATAACATTGTCAATCGTAAAAATTTATGTCTTGACAATCTTTCTCTATTCCTATCTCTCTCGACCATCTCGACAATCTATTGACACGACTAAGTTTAGGGCATGGTTCTGATACCATATTAGATGAACACGACTCTCAACAATAGTATGATATTGTCCACTTTGAATACAAAGTCTTATGGTTTTGTTTTGGGATTTCTTAGAGTATTATTTGATTATAAACCGAGGAACGTTCCCTAAGTTAACCAAGGTAGACTTTCGGTATAAACATGGAACGTAAATGAACAGGAGTGTAAATAATAATCATAATCATAATCTCACCAAAATAAAAGGAAGAAGTCAAACCAAAGTCCAATCACTTCTACCCTCAAGAGAGAGAAAAACGAAAAAAAAAGAACAGTTTTTTGGATGATCAAAGCTTCAAAATCCAAAGAACAACCCCATAATGTGGGAAAACCTTGGTTGGTGTTAGTCTTCAGCCCATTCATATATCAAATCCCAAACGGAAGTCGCATCTTGTTGCCCACCACCCAAATCCTCCGCCGGACTCGCATTCAAATCCATACTCGCTCTATGCATCTCAAACGCCTCATCCACCGCCGCCTCTCCCACGCCGCCCTTCCAGTACCTGCTCCCGTAATTCTCCACCGTGCTGCTGCCGGACCCATCTACGGCGTCTTCGCTCCTCCCCTCCTCGCTGCTTGGCTCCGCCCTCGACAGCTCCCAGTTCATCCACTCCACCACGCTCTTCAAATGCGTGTCGATGTTCTCATCCTCTGCTTCTCTGTAAATGCACTGCGTCTCATGCTCTGTTCTTGCGTTCTTGTCGGCGAATCCCATCGGCGCCTCGCTCTGTGGGCAACGTTGGTTCTGACAAGCGTACAGCGCCGAATCGGCTGCTGCTGCAGCTACTTGTTCGAACATATACTTACGTTTCGTAATAATCCCACCGGCGTCCTGTTCTTCACTGTTTTCGTCATGTCCGTCTTCGACGGATGTGATTTTGAGGCTTTTTTTTGTTAGCTGCAAGAGGGATTCTTCTTGATTCACGACTTTAGCCCACGTAAGCGTCTCCTTTGCCGTCATTTTCGCTTGTAAATTCTTCGATTGTCGAACCAATTTCCTCATATTGTCCAAATCAGGGGACATATGTTTGATCACTGCTGCCAAGACACTAATTTTCCATGCCTTTTTGAGATCGTGAGGCTTTTTATACGGCGGAACGCCATGTCCACCAGCAGCACCCTGTTCACCCCACCAAAGCTCATTCCCCGTCGGCCACCACGGCGGCGCTAAACCCTTCTCAAGTGGGAATTTCCTCTGTGGCGGAATACAGTGTTGAATCAAAGCAGAGAGAATCGACCCCAATGTTGTGTCCTGTAAATCATGAAGCATGTGCAAAAACGACTCCGAATCGAGCCCTGTTTCTTCGAGAACTTTCGGGAGGAATTGAGCTATGGCTAAGGGAGCATCTTGTTCGAACCGGACGTCGTCCCGCCACCACTCCCGGAGGCTCTCCGAGGAGCCGGTGACTGGTTTCCCCTTCTCCGGAACGATCCCATAAACAAACCCTTTTGCCTTGCAAGCGTCCATTATCTTATCCATGTACTTAAGGATCGAATCTTGAGCTCTGGCCATTTTTTTCCGGCGAGAGGCTTCTTCTCTAGCGGTGGATTCAGGTTCTTCAGTATCCCGCTTCTCCTTCAGCTGCTTCATCCTCTGTCTATCTTTCCACATCCGTTTCTTGAGATCATCGTAGCTAAGTTCCTCTTCCTTGTCTTGCTCGTCTCCATCGCCGGAGCTTCGGATTTCTCCATGGAATTCCACCATCATTTGTGTTCGAAGCTTTTTATGAAGATTTCAGATACGGTGAATTGGGTCATTATCTCAACCACTATATATAGGTTGAACTACAGTAAACACCTGATCTTGTAGTTTTCATTTTTACCCTTCAAAACACTGAATTTGCGACCGACTCTAACTCTAATCCAATGAGATTAAAAGGGCATTTTTGATAATTTAAGCGTGGGAATGGCGGTGGGTTCTTGGGCATGATTGTTTGAGATAGGGTTTTGGGACAAAGTTTGGGTTAACGAGGAGTGTAGGTTTGACTTTGGAGGTTTTTGTGAGGAATTATGAAACAGAGGAAACAGAGGAAACAGAGGAAAACAGAGGAAAACAGAGGAAAACAGAGGCTGGGTGTTATGCTTGCATGTCGGACACGCGTACCATTTCGTTACATCATCAACTTCCTATCCCTTTGTTTATGATAAAAAAAAAACATGTTTTTTTCTGTTATAAAATTCTCTACCATTCTTCCGGATTAAGTATTCATTTTATTCGAAGAACAGGAACGAAAAAGGAAAGAAAGAGAAAAAAAAAAAAGACAGCTTTCCAGCTTCCATGGAGTCGTTTTTTGTGTGTAGCGACTGAATCATTTGAGTCTTAAGAGGTAAGAAACTTGTGTAGTTAATATTTTGTTTGTAAGCTCCTACTGCAGAGAAGAACAACAACTGTTGGCAACACTGAAGAGCTAAGTTATTAAGTGGTTGTTTTGAAGCGGTGTAGATGTATTGTGTAGACATGTGGCACGTCGAGGTCAATTTTGTAACGATCTAAGCTCACTATTAACAAATATTGTTGGTTTTGGTCTGTCATGTATGTTGTTAATATCCCGGTTTTAGAATGTGTTTGATAAGGAAAGATTTTCTCTTATTTATAAGAAATGTTTCGTTTCTCTCTCGAACCGATTAGAATCTCACAATTCACTCTCATAAGGGTCTAACGTTCTCGTTGGCAAACCGGTATCTGGTTCTGATACCATTTGTAATAGCTTAAGTCCACCACTTACGTATATTATCTTTCTTTGAGCTTTCCCTTCTGAGCTTACCCTCAAGATTTTGAAATGTGTCTATTACAAAGAAGTTTACACACCCTTGTAAATCGTGAGACCAAGGACGATATGTAGCGGGCCAAAACGGACAATATGTCTGCTAGCGGTGGACTTAGGCTATTATAAATGATATCAAAGCCATACACTGAATAGTGTGCCAGTGAAGACCCTGGAACACCAAGGAGGTAGATTGCGAGATCCCATATCGACTGGAGAAGGGAACGAAGCATTTGTTAGAGGGTGTGAAAACTTCTCCCAAATAGATTTTTTTTTTTTAATCTCGAGAGAAAGCTAAAAAAAAAAAAAAAAAAAAATCCAAAAAAGACAATATCTTGTATTCCGTCTTTATAAATTTTCTTGTCTGGACCCTCGGACAAACCCGGGGCTAGTCTGGATGTTGATGACACTAACATATGCAGAGGTGTCCTGCGATTTAACTTCCTAAGTCAGCGCGTAAGAGTTAGCATCAACGGCTGACTTGATGCGGCTGGAGGTGATATGAACTTTGGTCAATGCTGCCATGGTCGGCTGCATAACCCAAGTAGGTCAAGTGAGCAAGAAGCTAGACAGTTGGACGATGGAATCCCGATATCTGTGTGGTTCGTTATGGGTCTAGACAAAGAGCCACTAGATTATGGCACCACGCTGAGCGTTGCCGAGTTGATTGGTGAAAGCATGGTCGGAGGATAGAAGGTTCCCATGGTACATGCTCGAGATCGAAACAAAAGAGGAACTTCGGGTAGATGCATCGTGACCCTCCATAGAATGAACGCTCCCAATGTACCTCAATCAGGACATGCCTGGAATGTGACAAACAACATTGGGGTAGATGTATGGTGTAATCGAATAGATCCTTCCAAAAGCACCAAATTATGTGGTGACAGACATAATGCCAAGGTTATTTCACTTTCGTTTATCTACCTTAGGTTCCATCAACTCTTTTATTTCCATGTCATTCATATTGCAAGTGAGAATTGAGTTAGATCATCTTAGGTGTATATTGTGGGTAGCCATACCGAAAGTAAAGGATTGTCGAGTAGTGATAGATGGTTTAGTCCTTAAAAGTAACCCCTGTGGTCTTAGGCATGAAGGACTTCAAAGTCGTTCTAAGCACAAACTAATTGACAAGGAACTTCATTAGTATCATACTTCTTTCACAAGGAGCTAACGTCTTGGTCTTCGTCCCAAGACATCTACAATTACAAGACTTAGTGGACAAAGAATTTATGTGCCCCGGTGTTTCACACTAACACCAGGACTTATTCATGATAAAGAATAAATACCCATTTCTCCGTGTAAACGATTTATTTGACCAATTTGAGGGAATCAGTGTATAGACGATTTCATTTTTTTAATCCTATTTTTCTTTCATTAAAATAATTATTCCATTCGATAACCAAATGGTAGGTGATATGGTCAAAATGTCATTACTCGTGAAAAAGAAAAATCACGAAGATAAAATATTTGTATTGCGACCAACGTCTTTTAGTTTCCCTCTCTCTGTTTTAGCAACATTTTTAAATAAATGAAAATCGGTAAAACAATGATTGAGTGGAAATTAAAGACGAGTACAAAAAAGGTTGTATCGTTCCCTAATTATTTTTCTCTTTTTCACGTGCATAGCAAAACATATATCTTTAACCATAATAATGTCTTTCCTCAATAAATTATTTTGGATTTTTCTGTGTCTATACGAATGTATCATATCTCGTATATCATATCTAAATAATTTAGATAAGAAGGATACATGAATAAACCGAAATCATTAAGAGAACATGAAAATGCGGTAACTACGAAAAATTAAAAGAATGGAAAATCATTAATTATACCAGACAAATTGCTATGGTGGTTCAATTATAAAAACTCAATGTTTGAAGTAGTTCTACGTTGGGTGACGTTTTAGAAATACTTTGAACGAGGACAAAACATGATGAAAAACTGAGTTGGTATGTGTGGATAGTCTTCACTCTCGTTGTTCTCGAGAAGGAAGAAAAATATACCAAAAAGTTAGAAAGATGATTATTCCTTTACATGTCACTAAGTTGTCATCCTGTACCGTAAGATTCGCTGCCTTCCTCAATTTATAGTGAACTTCCAGACTAATCAAATATCTTTACAACTTTTGAAGAACAGAACTTTTCATACAATAATCAAAAGTAGAAAAAGAATGTTCAAAATTCAATCAGCTTTGTTCAAGAACACAAAGCAAGAAGAAATGGGTCGTCTCTTTCATTCCACTAACAGTAGCAGTTGCAGAGCTCCATTAGTGTAAAAATGGTGTGTTAGCTGGCAAAAGTTGCTACACAACAAAACGCCAGTTCCCTAAAAACCGGGTTTTATGGAGCCGTTGCACTTTCTCTTGTGAAAATCAAGGGTAATTCTGTCATCTCCTCACCTTTTCCAATAAATGCAGCTATTCTCTCTTCTGACACCAGTTTCCTCTGTTTTGTGTAATGTGAGATGTTTTTGCTTTGCTTTAGTTCTTAATTACAAAATATTTTCTCTGGTTTTTTTGTCGTACCCATGAGGAGGAATGGCCGTTGTAATTGTTTAATTGAACGGTGAAGCATGAATGTTTTCTAATTTTCGCTGTTTTTTTTTTTTTGGTGAAATCTACACATGTTTCGAGGATCTTCTTGCCCTGTTCTTGTTTTCTTCCGTTCTTAGGTTTTTGATCCATCTCCATTTTGCTTCATTGTTGCTGCATTTTCCTCTGAATCTCTGCAAAAATCTTTGTTCTAGAGGATCTTTGAAGATGGGTTATCTTTGTTTTCCGTTGATGGGTTTGATTTTGTGAGTTCTCTGTCACTGCTCACTGGAAAACAAGCTAATCCTATGTTTTTTCATACTTTGAATGTAGTAATGTGAAGGTAACTCCGACTTCTGTAGCTCATTCCATTTTGTGGGTCTTGTTCCTTTCTGTACGAACACGCTTCCCTCTGGTGGGTTCTTGATTACGTTGGGGTTTTTCGCGTTGCTCGTGGTGAACAGGCTGCTCTGTTTTCGCGGAAGAGTTTCTTCTGGAAATCGAGGTGGGAGACCGTTGATTCCGAAGTGGGTGTTCTGATAATCAAAATTTTATGGCTCCGACATCGATTTCATGAACTGGGTCGTTGAAATTTTTGGCGAAAAATGGGTGGTTCGAACTCCAAAATCGAGAATGACGAAGCCCTACGCCTTTGTAAGGAGCGAAAGCGATTCATCAAACAGGCTATCGATTCGAGGTACGCTCTAGCCGCCGCCCATGTCTGTTACGTTCAGGCCCTAAAAAACGTCGGCGTTTCTCTCCGGCGATACGCCGAGGCTGAGGTGTTGATTGAGTCGTCTCTATCTACGTCGGCCACCGAGCTCGACAAGACGCCGTCGCATTTCTCTTATCCATCGCCATGCCCGTCGCAGACCGCCGACGCTTCCGAGTCTCCATTGCGAGAAAGCCCCATTACGCCGCCAATACCCACCATTAGTTATATGGTCGCCGGAGGTAGTACCCCTCTTACTGTCAAAGTCCAGCCGAGTAGCCATAGTTATGTTTATGAAGAATCTGTTGCTTCGCCGTTGCCTCCGCCGCCGCCACCACTGCCTCATGATTTGGGATCTTCTTGGGATTACTTTGACACCAATGATGAAATTGATAGCTTCAGTTTCTTGGCGACTGGTGGGATGGATGTGAACATTGAGAATGAGAGAATGTGGAAGCAATTCAAGGGAGCAATGACAGATGCCAATGATGAATCCCAGGAAGGGATTTCAAAGCCAGAAACAGGGCAAAAAGCTTGTGAAAATGGTGACCATTTGAGTTCATCTGAATCTGTTGAAGAACGAACTTCGGAGATGGCGAGACGGGACGATAAAGAGCTTAATTCGACGAGTTTGTCGTGCGAAGTTCTGCTCGAACAATCTGGTTCAAGAGGGATAGTTAAGGTGGAGAAGAGTTTGTGCACTGAACAAGAAGATCCCTCAGAGTTTATTACTCATAGAGCTAAAGACTTTCTTTCCAGCATTAAGGAAATCGACAATCGGTTTCAGAGAGCTTCAGATTCCGGGAGGGAGGTCTCGAGAATGCTTGAGGTCAATAAAATCAGAGTTCGATACCTCGAAGAAAATGGTACATTTACGAGAAAATGTCGATGAACTGTGTAATTTGCTCGAGTTGTTCATTAGTTTCATTGTTGTATCTCAACTTTTGCAGGAAGTGTATCTGGTTTTGCATTTTTCGACCCGTTGCGTCGATTACGACTCGTTTGCTGTCCTGCAAAGCCTACCCTTTTATCTCATGGTAATTTGAACCCTTTGATTGAATATGCTGAGATAGCCATTTGCTTGTTGATCTTCCTGTAGCTAATTCTTAAGTGAGTTCTAATGAATATACAGAGCCACATAAGAAAAAAGTGATTACGTGGAAACGATCGACATGGTCTCGGTCATCTTCGTCACAGAGTCCTCTTGCTGCCAAAGATGATGTTGATGACAGTGGAAGCGAATTTGTAGAAGAATTCTGTATGATCTCCGGAAGCCATTCGTCTACCTTGGACCGACTTTACGCATGGGAGAGAAAGCTCTATGATGAAGTCAAGGTATGTCCTGTGGAGAAGAAATATCAGATACAGATACTCAAATATGTAGAGTTTCTCATAAAGATGATACCTTGAGCTGATCATGGTAACCTCATTTTGAATGAGTTTTGTTCGTCTTTTCAGGCTAGCGAATCCATTCGGAAGGAGTACGATCGTAAGTGTGATCAACTTAGATATCTATTTGCGAAGGATTACAGTACACAAGTCATCGACAAGACGAGGGCAGTTGTCAAGGATCTACACTCCCGTATACGGGTTGCAATTTATTCTGTTGATTCGATATCGAAACGCGTTGAGAAAATGAGAGATGAAGAGATGCAACCACAACTCATTGAACTCGTTCAGGGGTAAGAAGAATGTTATTTTATCTTCACAATCAAATGATGTGAGATTCTATATCGGTTGAAGAGGGGAACAAAACATTTCTTATAAGGGTGTGGAAATCTCTCCCTAACAGATGTGTTGTAAAACCGTGAGACTGACGACGATACGTAATGAGCCGAAGCATACAATATCTGCTAGTGGTGGACTTGGGCGGTTACAAATGGTATCAGAGGCAAATGCCGAGAAGGGTGCCAGCGAAGACGCTGGCCCCCAAGGGGAGTGGATTGTGAGATTTCACATCGGTTGGAGAGGGGAACGAAACAGTCCTTATAAGAGTGTGGAAACCTCTCCCTAGTAGACACGTTTTAAAATCATGAGACTGATGACAATATATAACAGGCAAAAGCGAGAGATATTAGCGGTGGGCTTAGCTATTACAAACGATAATGTGATGCTGTTCACTTGCTGTTTCGTCGATAATTTTAGTTTCAGTGCAGGTTGATCAGGATGTGGAAGTCGATGCTTGAATGCCACCACGCACAGTACATAACGATATCGTTGGCATATCACTCGAAGAGTGCAGCCATGGGTACACCTCGAGCGGACGCACAAAGGCAGATATTAGTCCAACTCCAACAAGAGATAGAATGTTTTGGCCTAAGCTTTGCAAACTGGATCAACAGCCTTGCATCATATGTTGGAGCTTTGAATGGCTGGCTACAACATTGCATTCAACAACCACAGGAACGCTCGAAGAGCAGAAGGCCATTCTCACCTCGCCGTGTCGTTGCCCCACCTATTTTCGTCCTATGTCGAGATTGGTTAACAGGAATCAACAACCTTCCATCTAATGAACTTAGCAACGCCATCAGAGTCTTCTTGGAAGAACTCAACTGTTCGATATCCGAAAAAGCCGAACTACAGAGGAAACAGAAGCTTGTTAAGCCAAACACTGGGGAAGAACCAGAAGGGAACGACAACAACGACAACAACAGTACTTCCTCTTCAAACTTAAGTTGCATACATTCAAGTTTAACGAAAATTCTGGATCGGCTAACGAAATTTTCCGAAGCTTCGCTCAAAATGTATGAAGATGTTAGACAGAAAAGCGAGGCTGCAGTTACAACATATTTGAATTACAAGCCTGTTAGATATTAACCATGTAATTATGGGGAAGTACAAATATTTCTCAAGTTTGGCTGCAGGTCCTGTTGATTCCTTGAAAGTCATTTAGGACAAACGGCACGTTGGATCGTGCTCGTTATTGAATCTATGAACATGATAACGAAAATTTAACACCTTAATTGCAAGTATTGAGTAATGATAATTCATTTCTTCCTGTAAACATCCATGTAACTTATTATTGACAATTTAGTTATCTTGATCTTTTCCAATACCAAAGACAACATGACAATTGGTATAGAATTGACACAGCCAATAGTTTTTATCAGTGATCACAATACTGATATGAGGTTTTGGTAGCTAACCACTCACCAGTGGTCCAAGTTTGAATGCAATTTTGTACTGGTTGGCTATCAGAATCCGATGTACTGCGTGTACTGGGAGTAAGCATTCGACTTCATTGCAATGGGCGCTCGAGTTACATGATCTGGAAGATCAAACGCATCAACCAGTTCTTGTGCGATGTTTCTCACTTGAAAACATAGATATTCAGTGAGCTTATGAATAGCCTGCAGGGCAGAAGGAAAATTCACAAGAATTCAACTACTGAAAGAGTTATATGATGGTGTAATGCTAGCTAAAATTACCTTTGCTTTGTTGGGAGCTACGTAGTCGACATTTCGGTATGTTCCGATGTCGTTCCAGATTCGATCCAAGGCGTAAAGGTCGCATACGAGTTTCAGAGTAGCCTGTGTATTGGCATTGGGACATCTGATGCAAACGAAAATATTGTTAAAACCTCAGAACAGAAAACAATATGAAGTGAACTGCAGGTGTTGGAATGAAATGAACCTTTGTACAGCTTCTATAAACTGAGCGAGGATTACAGATTCAATGTGGGATTCTGCAAGAGTCAAGAGGTGATTCAGGCATCTATTCCATGCACCAAAGCTTCCAAGGTTTTTAGTATGTTTCCGAAGACGAACAGCTACACTTTGAAGTAATCGAGACGTTCGATACTATGATATGAACACCATCAAGAATAAGGATTCTTTGCATTCGAAAATTAGAAACATCTTCATTTTCACGAAACAACTATTCGTATACTCACTTGGAAGGCATCTAGCTGAAACTTAGGATCTCGGAGATGGTCTGCACTTTCCCACCGTGCCGTGACGGGATTCGGTTGAGACAGATACGTATTCATCGACTCTCGCAGGTAGTTCCATGTAACTGTAAGTGTCCCACCTTGAAATTTCTCCTTGTATTGCTTCAAGAGGTAAGCCGCAACCTAAACGTGAAAGTTCAACTTTAAGTCACTAAGGAAAAACAATAGCCAACAAGCAATAGATTATGTTAGCCAAACCTGTTGTAGAAGAACAGTATTGTCTCCTTCAAAAGTCTGGAAAATGTCGTGATCGTTCCTAAGAGTACCGAAGCGATTGACGACAGCGTATCCATGGCCGCCGCAGGCTTCCCTGCAGGTACTCAAGGATTTCGCCGTGTAAGAAGTAATGTAAGCCTTGAGGCCTGCCGATAACGCGTGCACATCTCCAACTAGTTCTTCATCATGAGTCTTCTTCATCTGTGCATACTTTTCCACAAGTTGCATAGTAGAGAAATGGAAGGCGTAAGTTGAAGCCAGCATTGGCATAAGCTTGTGCTGCTGAGACTGGTAATCCAAAATACTGACTTCAGGCTGCTTTGGAGGGCCAAACTGCTGGCGCAACAGCGAATAACGAATAGCAATTGTGGAAGCAATCTTAAGAACACTAGCTGAAGAATATGCTAGCCCAACTCTTCCACCTACAAGTTCTCCTAATGTTGCTGCAAATCTTTTATTGATAGATGGTAGACTACTCTTATACTTCCCGTCCCGGGATACCTCTCCGAATCGATCAAGGAGATTATCTCGTGGAATTCTCACCAAACGGAATCTCAACGCTCCATTATCGACACCATTGAGGCCTACCTTGTGGCCACAATCATGGATTTCAATTCCTGGAAGTGTTTTATGAGACTTGAGATCTCTTATCGGAACGATGAAAGCATGGACGCCCATATCAGCAGTCTTTCTAGAATCATGAGTTGGCAACACGAGCTTAGCGAAAACCGTGGCGAACTTGCCGTGAACTGCAGCATTGCCAATCCACCATTTGATGGCTCCGTCATTTGGTGTATTGATAATGAATTCGTCCGTGATCGGATCGAATGTAGCTGTTGTTTGGAGACCCTGAACGTTTGAGCCTTGGAAGAATTAAAGGAAGAGATTTTAGAACAAAATGCAGAGCTACATTACTGAACAGAACTGCATAATTAGAGTTACCATGATGAAGTTCAGTCATAGCAAAGCAGCCAGGATAATCCACATTGTCAATACCATCAAAGAATCTGTCTCTGTGCTTTTTGGTTCCTAAATTGATGACAGAGCCACCCCATAGACTGCAATATGAAACATGACGATATTTTCATAAATAGAACTCAATGTCAAGCTGTAGTCGTCTGATTCAAATTTCAAGCCCACTCAGCAACTGTAACAGCCTAAGTATATCGTTAGGACTTTCCCTTAAGGTTTTTAAAATGCGTCCGCTAGGGAAAGGTTTCTACACCCTTATAAGGTATGCTTCATTGCTTTCCAACCGATATGGGATCTCACAATCCACCACCTTCGGAGCCCAACATATTCACTAGCACTCGTTCCCCTCTCTAATCAATGAGGGATCTCACAATCCACTCATTGCAGGGCCTAGTGTCCTCACTAACATACGTCCGGTGTCCACCCCTTTGGGGCTAAGCATCCTCACTGACATACCGCTCGGTGTTTGGCTTTGATACCATTTGTAACAGAGGATAACATCTGCAAGCGGTGGGGTCGGGCTGTTACAAATGATATTAGAGCTAGTCACTAGACTGAGCGAGGTACTGGTCGGAGTAGGGCTAGACCTTCTCCATAGTAGACGTGTTTTAAAACCTTGAGGAGAAAGTCCAAAGAGGACAATATCCATAGTAGACGCGTTTTAAAACCTTGAGGGGAAGTTTAGAAGGGAAAACCGAGAGAGAACAATATCTACTACCCCACAAGCAGTTACAACAACAGCAGATGAACATTCTATAGCTAAACGAAAACTAAATTCATGGCCATCAAATTTTCTTCCCAGAAGCTTAACTTTCGTCTCCCACCCGAGAGAGGAACTAGTTGTTCCAGTTAAATTCAAGCTTTGGAAGAGAAATTCCAGTTAATATTGTCTTAAGAAAATGACAAAAACAATTATCTTAAAGATCTGCAGAACTTTTTTCTTAAGATTTGGAAGTTCTAATCCAAAAATAGGAATTAAAATTAAAATTATAAAACATATGGTCAAAAATAGAATCGATCCAATGATTACTAAAACCATATTTAATGGAAAGTAAACATTCGTGGGTCAAGTTCAATGATTCTAATTCGATAATTACCATTCTCAGCCTCCCAAAACAGTCATAATAGGGAAGAACAAAAAGAAGAAACTAAAATTTATTTGAGAAACAATGGTAAGAATGAGATAATCGAGAGAGAAGTAAAGATAATGACCTGAACTGGACGCCCATTTTAATGGCGAGAGAGACGTCCACACTTCCAACAGCCTCCATAATAGCGAAATACTTAGCAGGATCTTCATTAACAAACCTAAACGGCCGAATTCCGGCTTCCCTGACCAGACCTACCAATTGCTTCATACAGAGATCCCGATGATCGGCCATGGAGATCCCCACCGGCGTCTGCAATTCAGGCCTCGAATTGAAGTACTCAAACACTCGCTCTTGAACCTCCCTGTGTTTCTTCCTCATATACAGTGACAAACTCCCCATATCCACTTCGATTTTCGCCTTCGCTTTCCCCGCCCCGCACGTTTCCATCTCCACCCCCTGCGAATCATCAAGGGGAATCGGAGTCAGGTGTAAAGACAGCCGTTCGATTCGCCGGGCGGCTGCTTGAGATTCATCCTCCGCCGTCCGATTTGGTTCTCCCGGTGATGCCATCCGTCAATCGCAAACCAGTAGAGAGAGAAACAGAGTAGACCTACCACCGGAAGTCGGTTTGCCAATTACTTAAAAGAGGAAGAGGAGCTGAGGTCGTGTTCGTTAAGTAACCTACGTGTCGAGTTTTGATTGGCCCGCGTGGGTAGCAGTTAACTTGGCGCGTTTCTCAACGCAATTTGGATATGGTTGATGGAGAAAGAGATGAGATTCGTGACATTTTTGACATTTTATAATATATCTTTTGTTTATATTTTTTTATTCTTCGTTGAAAATTCAAATTTAATCAAAATATATTTTTATTAAATAACATATACTATTTATATTTTTAATCATTTTTAGTTATATTGTTTTATTTTAGTTATTAATATCAAATAAATTGTTCAATAGAATTTAATATTATTAAATTTGACGTAATCTTAATTATAATTAATAAAAATATTCATAAATTTTGCGTTTTATCTATTAATAAAATTTAAAAAACTTCAATAACGTCTTTAGTCTAAAAAGAAAAGTTAAAAAAATAATTATGCTTACTTTTGAATGGAAATCATTAATGTTACCGTAGACTGTGTTTAAAAAATATTGTTTATTTTTAAAAGGATTTAAAAAATATTATTTAATTTTCAAAAATAATTTAGAAAATATAGTTGATATTTCAAAAAATTTATTAATACTCTTAAACTTTTCTAAAAACTATGATTTAAAAAAAATAAATTAAAATATCATTACGACTATAACTTTAAAAAATACTAAAAAACTTTCAAAACTAACATAAAAAAAATATAGATAATATATGAGGTGCTGATACACGATTAAATAGTTTATGAGGTGCTCATAGAAGCTTTGGAGTAGAAGTGCGAAAAATAGTTTGGACTTTCGTTCAATAGAAGCTTTGGAGTAACTGTGTTGAATTGTTAGAAGGAAGAAGTAGCGAGTTGACTTGGAGACAGCCAAACCAGTTATCTGCTTAGAGATCTTCTGACCAGGTGAAGATTGTTGTAATTTGTCAAGAATGATAGGTTCATGTAATGTATAAACATTTATTTGGTTCATAA